GGAGGCGTGCGGGAAGGTCGATGTGGATAGCCTGACCGTAATGATCACAAGGTACGGGTAAGGCGATCAAGGGCAGCGTGGAGGGGTCGATGGTGAAGGAGGGGAGGAATCTGTGGGCGACAATGAAGCTGAAAATGAATATGTATGCCTTGCGAGGAATAGACATTCCTGCAGTCGATGTGAGAATGGGGGAGGATAGGAGGAGGGGGACTCGCAAGGTCTTCGTGCTTTAATTATGAGAATGCTTTGGCTTCGGTGGCTATCTATACATTTCTTTGATTAGTACCAAGGTCTTCGACTCCCAGGCCCAAATCATCTTTGACCGTTGTCAAGACAGGGCGCCCTCCGACCAGAGAGCGGACGTTTCCTCCCGGTTGCACAATTAGCAGTCATAGACGTTGTTTCTTGATCCCCGCAATCAAACCCTTTCCCCCTCCCATGCCGTGGCAGGAAGTAGTCAATGTCTCTCCTTCCTCTGACGACGACCGGTATGTCTTTCGCTGCACATATCATTGTTTGAAGTTTGCCTTCAGGAATGGATTTCGCGCGTGTCCTTTCAGAACTCCATGGATACATAAAATTTTATGTCTCTTGCCCAGTGCGCTGCCATTTTTGCACAACCGAAAACGTCTCATGGGCCACTCCTTCGTTTGTGTGATTTCCCATGGGAAGACATTCGTGAGGCGCCTAACGTGGACGCGGGATGCGATACATTCAAAACTTGGGAGGAGACATTACATTGTGTTCACAGCGTTTTCATGATACACATCTGACGTACAATAAACACTCAAAAAGTGTCCCAAAAGAGAAGCTATCAAGCGTCATTCCGAAAGAAATATTTGTAAGGTTGATATATATATCTATGGTGGAAATTGGATCTAGACATCGTACAAATTTTGGTCGCTTTTATAAATCCTAATTAATCTTACAGCTGTACAGGTATACAGAACGTCTGGACGATCAACAACCAGGATGTACCATTTGGTTGCTGAAATTTCAGCTAGACATGCTACACACAAAAGATCTCCGGACTTGTTCGGCCGCTAACTCACCGCTCTTAATTCTTTCTTCGTGCGCCCCTAATCTTCCCTTTTCTCCAGGCCTTCTCCGCATTCAAGTGGGTTACAATATCCTTCACCAGTGCCACGCCCTCTCCCATGACTCGTAGTTTCGAGTCCGTCATGTGCCAGACCGTGAAAGATTCGAAGCCCCCTATATCATCGTCAATCGGAAGAACTTTGCGGATATCCTCACACTCTTCGGGGCCCATAAATATCTAAAGGGGAGGAACGAAAATTTTGTATTGTGTGCATGATAATGAGATTCGGGGGATATGTTGTATGATTCAAAACATCCGCCACGCTCCCGACATGTGACGTACTTGCAGGGCTCCGCTGTGAAACTGGAGGTGGCGGTGCACAAATTGTTTGTGAGACGGAATGAGTATGAGCAACGATAGAAGATGCATCATCAGATACTCCAGTCCCCGCAATTGTGCGTCATACATAATCTGCACCGGCTCCCCCCCTCCCACTCCCCTTGTCCCGTGCAAACTCACCTCCACCCATTCTGCTTCCCTAGGATGTTTCAATTTCAAAAAGCCGCTCTCGCATCGGCTTTCAAAATTGTAAATCTGTTCCCTTGTCGCCATCCACATGGCCTGATGGGGATTTCCCGTCACTTGTGCCCACCAACCTGCTCCGGGGAGTTGCAACACATGGTAATCCACCGCCAGTGTCTCCCACAGCGCCCAAGCCCGGTCCTCTCGTAGCAAGTCGTGTTCTTTTCGGGAGAAGCCCACCATGTGATGCTCGCGGGCGTACGCGTCCGTGGTGAGCGCAAGCCGGCCGCTTGCATGCACATACGCATCCACCATTGACGGGGTGAGGTAGATATCGTCCTCGATGGAAATGAAGAAGTCGTACTCATCTTAGTGTAGACAAGGAGAATGTGAGCGCATAAATAAGACGAGGCTCGGAGAAAGATCGTCACTGTCTCTCATCATCCACCATTTTCTATGCGAAGGAGTGTCTCTGTGTAGTACTTTCCAACCCCCTTCCCATTTTCTATTCCCTTTGTTGTCTTACCCATCACTTTCGCCATCGCGAGCCGATGGCGGGAGCTCAAGAAGCCGCCAACATCGGGAGGAAAGTGATCCCAATACCGAATTTGGACAGGCTCCTGCGTCCGCTGACAAAACAAAGCTTCCTCTATCAACTCTCTTTGTTGCGAAATCTTCCAGGCGGCAATGAACCACACGGTCAGATCAAAGCCACGCTCGCAAAGTTCCCGGACACTGACCAGGGTCTTTAGGATTGTCAGCAGCTTATCCCCGGCCCACAGGTCGGAGATGCGCTCACCTCGGTCGATGCTGGATATGGTTAGTATGATTTTTTGTATATGCGTCTCGGAGGCAGGACGATGCAAGGGAGGTCGACCGGAGATTGGAGGACGGGTGGCTTTCTCGCCTGCAGGTTGAAGCAACGGAATGGCTGGGTTTCCTCCTTCTGCCTCGAACGGTCCTAGAAGTGACGCTTTCTCTTTTGAGTTTGCAGTTTGGATGGAATTTGCCGGGTCATTTTCTTCGTTTTGCTCGTTTCTCTTTGGCTGCTTTTGTCGCTCCACTTTTTCGTGAAGAATTTTCTCCTTCGTGATTCGCAAAGCTAGCTCCAGATCCTCCTGGCTCCCGAAGCTTGATTCAGGTGACGGTCTAGATTCAGGCGTTGTGGGTTTTTCTGTACTCACACCTCTAATAAGCATGTCTCGTTCTTGTGGAAGGTCATCACTAAGTATTTTGCTATCAGAAACCGCCGAAGAAAGCAATGCCAGATGTTCATTGTTGCTCGCAGTTTCAATCGAGGCCATTACATCGCTGCGCCGCCCCCGGAGTGAAATGATGTTCAATGTCAAGAGTAATGTAACTAGACTGCCTGAGACTAGCCATCTCAGGCGCCTGCGCTGCCGATTGTAGTGGCTTACCTCGCCTTTTCTCGACATTGCGGGTGGAGGCTTACGGGTTGACGATTGTCGTGTGCAAGTGCCAAAAGAGTCACTCATGAGTAGAAACAATGCGCGGCAGTCAGTACTATTGATGCTGACGTACTTTTAGGTTGCTATACATGCGTTATTTGTACTCTATGTATGCTTCCACTTGCTTGTCCTGTAATAAGACACATCATGTGATTACTTTAATTTAAAGGTACGGACAATTCGGTATTTGATACATAGCCTTGATATAAATGACTGAACGGTCTCATTGCCAGCTAAGGAAGCTCTACTTAGGGAGTGGGGCAATTCATCAATCATATTGTGCCCTCACTAATGAGCCGTGAAGAGAGTCCTTTCTTGCATGTCTGAGTGCAAGGCCCTCCACGATGGCGACACAAGGATTGTCCTACCCACTTAGGTTTCTTGCTCAATTAAAAAGCCTGTACATATTCAATCAACGGTATGCACGCACGAGGCACGTGGCACCAGTTTCAGCATGGCAGCACGGCAACCTTGTCACTTGCTGCCTCGGCCCATCTCCGGTAACGGACAATCCGTTACTTAACGGCTGGGCCCGATGTTGATGGGGCCGATGATGATGCCATCCTGATGCGGAGTAAAGTCTGTCTTGTTGAAATGGCTTGCCAAGGACCCTGGGTGCGTTAAATATCGTACCGCCAAGCATCACCCACACTCGTGCCATCGTCAGGCGCGTGGTAGCGTTTTACATATCCTTGAATGGCCTGGAGGGATGAATATCACAAGATAACTCGTCTTTTGGTACGGAGCATGCTGTCAAATTGCCCGTGTACTACTTGAACGCTTTCGAAAATGATCTCAGCCTCTTCCTTAGATGCTATGAGGAATGATTATAAAATTTGCCCGCCAAAACTCAAAGAAGCTTTTGCTTTGTTCAATACTACTACGCTCTTCCCCCATATTCCACGCAGGACGAGAACAAACAACGCTCTTTCCAACCACATACCCATTTCAATGGCCAACCCTGTTCAAAGCTTTTTTATTCTTTTTGCTATTATCAGTGTCTGTTGGACCTCAGTGGCCGACGCAGGAGGAGCGAAAGTCAACAATGTCACGCCCTCAATGGCGCGCACTATCTTGATCGCAGCTATGTCTCATGAGATGGACACAGTGGCATCCGCGGTAAGCTTTCATACATGTTCAACTCAATTATTATCTTGAAAGTAATCTTGACGACATGTCTATCCCTGCTCAGGACCTGCCGTCAAGCCTAGCGAAGACGGAAGCCAACACCACCTGTATCATGACATATTGCACGGACGCGGCTTTGGCTTGTGTGAAGGACCAGGCATGCCGCACCGCCCTGTCCTGCCTCTCAACCTGCGACTCATTGGAAGACGATAGTCCCGACAAGATCGAGCTGCAGAAATGCACGGCAGACTGCGTGGTGACCTATGAGAACGAGGCCTTGGACGCCGTCAACGGCTGCTTCGACTCTCACGACTGCATTGCCCTGACGCCCATCCCCCTCGCGTGCCGGGACACCCATCCTGCCTTTCCGATCCCACAAAATGTCACGGACATGGAAGGGGCGTGGTGGGCGACTTGGGGGAAGAACGCTGTGTACGACTGTTATCCGTGCCAACGCCTGTCGTTCTCCCCGCTGAACGCCTCGTCCTGGCTGTACACGTCCAAGTACTTGACCCCCACCTTGGAGGGCGGGGTGCGGGCCTACGAGCTTCAGGCAGCATTTCCTTGGCCGGCGGACGGTATGGCGACAGCCATTGCCTTCAATTACACCTACCAAGGTAGGGAAGAGAGCGAGGCACGGAGGGTTGTCAGCGATATCCTCCCGCCCCTGGGGAACCGCTCTCTGTGTGCTCGTCTTCGCCCTCTCTTTCCTCTCCCCATCCCCCTGCTAGATCGCATCTTTTATGTTTTCTTTTCTTCCTGTCTTCTCTTATCCGGACCATTTGGCCCCACCCCGTCTGCACGCTCACTTTTCGCGTCTGTGGTCTGCCCCAGGAATGAGCCACGGAGAGGAGTGGCGGTTCCTACACGTGGCCCCATCCCTTGTTGTTCTTTACTACTGCGGGCAAGGCAACACATGGCAGTACGAGGGAGGGCTGGTCTTGTCGCGAGAACGAAGCAGCCCCCCCGACCACGTCTCCTTGGCCGCAGAGGTAAGAGCCGAGGAGCTTGTCGTGGAGTGTGCATGCACTGTAGTGTTTTCGGGGTCGGCATTTTTCGGTCTTTGCATGTTGTCTTTCGCCTGCTTGGGTCGCAAATGCCCTCGGCGGGCCCTTGGTCACTCTTGACTGTTCCTATTCTCTTTTCCTGTGTGGATGGCAAGAACCGTATCCAAAACCTGAAAAACAACACGTTTGTCGCCGCATTTCACTCCTTTATTTGCCTCCCCCACTTCCCTCGTCTTCCTTGGCGTCAGGCCTTTGCAAAAATTGGCATAGATTTTGAGGAGGAGTTTTGCGAGCTGCAACCCAACCGCCCATGTCCTGCCCTTTAAGCGAGCATTGCGAGCCCTTGGAGCCCAGCATCCTGAGAGATATGGAGAGAGCCTAAACTGGAGCATGCTTGGAAGGGCGGTAGAGCCACGGGGGTGTCTCCTTGTTTCCCGGTGTACAGACAAGGCTTGAGGAATATCGGAATGGTAGCAAAGGGTTAAGGAACAAATCATCCCGGGATATGCCCCTTAGATATTGTCTATATTCCTTTCTTCTTCAAAGGATACGCACGGCTGTTGGCTTTCTCGTGCTCATATAGCAGTGTGTCACCCTCTTCTTTACGTGGGAGACTGTCCTTGTCTCTCGCCTAGCCTTCGAGATTTTCTGAAGCGAATAATTCAATGAAGGGGCTATCCACAAAGCTTCAGCAATGGCTTTGCTCCAATATACTTCTGATTTCTCAACACGCTGTATACTTTCTGAAATTCCTCGCAGGAGACGTGAAGTTCAAGATCAAAAACTCAAAAATTTCCTCCAAAAATTCAGTCTCTAGATGTACTCAATTTGGTTTTACATGAATTTGTTGAAATGTAAAAATCAAAAAGCTGAGGCGCATGTCATAGACGTCAGGCACGAGAGTCACCATCCGAGGCACTCCTATCAAAAATTGAGCGGTCAACCTTCGCGTGCCTAGTCCTGGTCTAGTTATAGCACATCGTACACTACCTGTCATGATCCTACTTGAAAACTTCGACATTTGCTTGATTGCAACGACGCGTTTTATATATATCTTCACCTACTAATAACCTCCCTCCTCAAGGTATGGCGTGTGCGAGCCTGACTGCACATAGCTATCAGGAAACACTGTTTTTACTGTGTGCGAGCTATCAAATATGTTGCAATTTCGAATGTGGGGGAAAATGTCTGAGAAGTTCTCTACGTGTGGACGATAACTACAATTTTGATGCCCTACCTGATAGTCAACTTGCCGTGCTTGGAGTATCCTGTCGTTGCTGATATGCCACGGCGATTGCGATACTTTATGGACCTCAATAATTCCATGGGCGCTTAATTTACCTCTTTCTGCAATTTACACACGCTAAGAGTGCCACACTGACCCCATTTTTACAATTTTTGGGCATTCAGGCACTCCGGTCCCATGAGCTCCACGGAGGGACTCACGCAGCGGAAGGGCAAGAAAGGCAACCAAAACGCTGCCAAAGCGCCTTCTGCGGACAAGGAAGATAAACACAAGCCTATCCGGGCGAGTGCTTCCTTGTTCCCACTCGATCCTATCACGGAGAAGAATTTGGTGCGTGATGGGATATGTATTGTTGCGTCAACGCGATGCATACGCGCCTCAGGAGGGTGGTCGGGGCAGGATTTGTGAAATTAGGGATAATCGGGTCTCTGGTCTTATAGATTGAGAGACAAGCCTTAGGACAGTAGGTACAACCTTCAAAAATACATCTTTCAAATTTGTGTTCCAATGCTCTTCTTCCGCAGTGTGGTATGATGGTA